TGCCGTCTAATAGAGTTACTCATATTGTAGGATCGTCATATTTTTTTTGACATCCTGACTTTAATATAAGTCATTTGTTTAGAAAGAGAAGATTTAATAACAAAAGCAGATAAATACACGATATCGTGTAATTTACAATAAAGTTGAAATCTACACTAACTAAACAATACCAAATTTAAGTAGAAACTAGTTTTGACATTCCACATGTCCTCTTTAGTAGAACGTTTGTTTTGTTTCCAATTAGGTTTAGTGTTGTTTGTTAGTGTGGATTTAAACTTTATTAAAGAATTCAATACCCGTGGAAAATATTAGATTTGACCTTTACTCTTATAACGCACTCACAGCCCTAAAATGTGGAATTTTTTGCGTCAACGGGACACCAACCATAAATTATAGAACATCAAGTTTTCTATGGAATATCATTTTGAAGGAGCACATCTTCACAATCCGAACGACTTCTTTCAATTTTACAGCATATTGGTGGTCTGAGTGTTGAGTTATCCTTATGTGTCCTGAAGATTTGCTTGTACAATGCTCTGCTTTTCTTTTTATGTAGCTTATATCACATTTTAAGAGTTAAATCTTGTATGATATTTCTTCAAGTAATGCCTAGTCAGAATATTTCCTTTTTAAAGTGAGACTAAAAAAATAAATCACACCATTTATTGTATCTTTCAGAATGTTGGGCTGATTTAAAACTGCATGATATGTTCAAAGCCTTATTAACATGGTTCATACGACGGTTGAATTTACTTTGGCACAGCTCCGTAACTGTTTAAACCTTCATCGATACGACCCATATTAAGGCAGAGTTTACTTTGGCACAGCTCCATAACTGTTTAAAACTTCATCGATACGACCCATATTAAGGCAGAGTTTACTTTGGCACAGCCTCAAAACTGTTTAAAACTTCATCGATACGACCCATATTAAGGCAGAGTTTACTTTGGCACAGCCTCAAAACTGTTTAAAACTTCATCGATACGACTCATATTAAGGCTGAATTTACTTTGGCACAGCCCCAAAACTGTTTAAAACTTCATCGATACGATCCATTTTAAGGCTGAATTTACTTTGGCACAGCCCCAAAACTGTTTAAAACTTCATCGATACGACCCATATTAAGGCTGAATTTACTTTGGCACAGCTCCATAACTGTTTAAAACTTCATCGATACGACCCATATTAAGGCTGAATTTACTTTGGCACAGCCCCATAACGGATATGTAGGTTGAATTTACTCTGGCACACTCCCAAAATATTACATTTCATTAATATAAAACATATGAAGATTGACTTTATCTTAGTACAGCACCTGTATTAACAAACGTCTGAGATGATGAAACCACACGAAAACCTTTTATTATCATTCACATAATTTGTTATTTGAAAATATGCAAAGAAAATGCAGAATTTACTAAATGAGGGGGAGTAATTACTATGAAAATAAGTGTTCACGTCCTATAATGTTATACAGTCAGCGTCTATTCGTTACTTATCCAAACATTAGACCTTTATTTTCATGTAGATTAACAAAAGTTCATGTAATTATCTCCTATTTATGGGCCAAACTATTGAGACACGTAAATTGTAACAACTTCCGCTGGATACTTAATCATTCATCATCAATCCGTATTAGAATTTAGGTCTATTTTGACCTGGGATGATCAGATGCAATGATGACCTCTTCCTCCCTCCCTGGCTGTTGATTTATTTTGTATTTCGATTTATTCAGGGAAATGGCCATTTGAAGATTAAAATATGTACTAAAAGTAAATATTCTGAATTATTTCAATATTGATTAAACCTTCGTGTACTCGGAGCTGCTGTACAGAAAGAACAAGGTAAGAGAATCTCCACTACTCAATAATAACAGCCGAATTTATACGTCATGTCAGTAGCTAAATCATCATACTAGATCAATGAAACGAAACTCGGCTTTTTGGCAAAGAATCCCGCCAGTCAGGAGCCTCAAGTTATCAGGCTTGTCTGGAATAGTCATTTAAGAAGACACTTTTAACAATTTTCATGAATATAAAACTGTACCATGTGTTTCACTTCACAAATAATATTCGAAACTACTTTCGTATATATATACACACACACCCCCGAATGAAATTGATCACGTGACCAGAGAGCAAACATTTTTATATATCGCCAACACCATTAACGTTATTTTTGAAGGAGGGGAGGGGGAGTAAAGATTTGTAGAGCCAATATTTTAAAGTTTTGCTTCACTAATCTTCATTTTCTTTCTCTCAACAATTATTCTGTCTCTCTGTAGTATATTATTGTAACGTATAAGAAGAAAGAATTTGAATACTCGTATACGAATACAGAAAAGAAGGAGATAGGAATATAAATCATACAATAGATATGAAAATCTCTACATTGTTTCACGTTTCACTTTTACTATCCGAATATTTATTTTGTGTTTTCTCAATCCTCACAGCCACTTGTGCTTTGTTCAATAGCTGTACATTAACGTAATATTATGGCTTTGAACTTTGTTAATAATTTATGTTTTCTATAATTTCTGTATGTTGCATGAACTTGTACTAATTAAAACAAATAGTCCAACTTCAAATTATTGTCTATTGCTACAAGTGTGGAAAAAAAGAAATATTTGGGGGGAGAATAAATTATTGTCTATTGCTACAAGTGTGGAAAAAAGAAATAATTTATTCTACCCCCGAAATACTGTCTATTGCTACAAGTGTGGAAAAAAAGAATTATTTTTGGTAGAATAAATTATTGTCTGTTGCTACAAGTGTGGAAAAAAAAGAAATATTTCGGGGTAGAATATATATCTTATTTCGAGAAAACAACAACAAAGTCAAGTATTCAATTAAGTTAAAAAATAGACATTGTATTGTAGCTGCACCCCTTTTACTATTTAAAGTTATTTACAATAAAATTTAACACTCATAAACCAAACAAAATGTATTCAATAATTTTATTTAAAACCATTGCAGTGTTTAGTTCGTGGAATATCATCGATAACGAGTTATCAGAAAAAGAGACAAATATTGTTTTTTTTCTTGTTAACTAGGAAGTGGAAGCCATTAACACTTCTTTCATGATGGCCCGGCATGGCCACGTGGTTAAGGCACTCGACTCGCATTCTGAGGGTCGCGGGTTCGAATCCCTGTCACACCAAACATGCTCGCCCTTTCAGTCGTGGGGGCATTATGATGTGACGGTCAATCCCACTATTCGTTGGTAAAAGTGTAGCCCAAGAGTTGGCGGTGGGTGGTGATGACTAGCTGCCTTCCCTCTAGTCTTACACTGCTAAATTAGGGACGGCTAGCGCAGATATCCCTCGTGTAGCTTTGCCCGAAATTCAAAACAAGCAAACAATCTTTCATGATGTACCGAAAACAACTGATAGACTGTATCAAGGAAATATTGTTAATAGTGATTTTTTTTCAATCCATTTATATTGAATTTTATTCCATATTTATTAGATAAAAACGTCAATCTCTGAGTACATTAGTCATAAAATTAGGTAACTTATTTCAAAGTATTATGAAAATTTCCAGTTTGCTTATTTTAGTTTAAGCTTTCTATCTCCAGTATTACTCTCCAGAACCACTTTGAATTATTATACCGTGTTATCTCGGCTTTCAATCTTTCACTTTGATATTAAGAAGTTAGTGACCAACACGGCCTTTCACAAGCACTCGTAGTATGTCGTATTGCTCCTTCGATATATTCAAGATCTCCTGTTTTACAATGAAAAGTCTTTCCTCAACAGATATTTTCGATAAGCTCAATTTTAAAGTGGATTTCCAATCTCCTTCGAGAACATGGACTGTAAATACAAGATGATACTTGTATAGATGTGTCCGTAATGATCACACTTGGTCCCTTCTGGTCTTCTCTGGAGGAAGATCTGTCGGATGTTCTAAGTAAAGTAGCTTATGCGAAGTGAATATATTTACATCACAAGCTTTGCTAATATCAACATGAGTGTAACTTTAAAACGGAATATTCTTATAACTTAGCCTGAAACATATTATGAAAACTTCCCACGGTGATTTATGTATTTATTTTGTCAATAGAATTAGAGAGAGAGAGAGAAAAACTAACTTCACTCTACTATTATTGCAAAAATGTCTAAATCCTTCCGGTATGCCCGATCAATTTTGAAAAACAACAAAATAAAAATTATTTTACTGTAATTTCTTACCTCTCGAAGTTCTAAGACCACATTTGACAGAGTTTGCTTTTCTTATTTTCGAAGGTTGTTAAAATAGGATTTTCTAAAAAATAAGACCATCGACACAGGCGTATTTACTTATTTGTGTTTCTAAATTTGCAATAAAGTTAAAAATATTAATCTTACAAGTATGATTCGTTTCCCAAACTTTAAATGGAATTACAGCATGCACCCCCAAGACGGCAACAGATCCAAAAGTTTGGATTTTCCATAAGCAACCCAGACTACTAAAACGCCAATAAAATATCTCAACAGTCAATTTGTTAATGTCCCATTTGGCGGTATTCCTCAAGAGATTGGGTTTAATTTGTCGAGTTTGTATCAGATATTCGCGCAAAGCTACACAATGATTGTCTGCGCACAGTCGTCATTAGATTAGATGAAAACTTCAAGTCAACGGGACTTAATGGCACCTCTTGAGTACTTTGTCTTAATGTCATCTCTTGTCTAAGTAATTAGTATTTGTTTGTTCTTAAGCGCAAAGCTACACAAGGAATATCTATGCTGTACCCGTAATGGGTCTCGAAACCCGGTTTTTAGCGTTATAAGCCTTCAGACTTACTGCTGAGCCACGGTGGTGGTGGGGGGTTTAGTGAAATTTGACCATCATTCCTATAGCGCAACTACATCCCTACAGTCAGACCCACAGTTCAGGCATTCCACACTCAGATTTACAGTTCAAGAAACAAACACTCTGATCCACGGTTTAAATTCAGGTTTTTGAGAGACATTGTACTCTACCAAGAAATATATAATTATCTATATTTTAAATATGAACTGAATAAAATTCTGTCTTTCTTTATAGAGCTAGATGTATTTTGAGGATAACGTACTAGGCTGTGGATCTGAGGGTCCATGGTCCGCATCCCGTTGATGCAAAATCAAATCGAGCTCCATGAAGCACTTGGGGCCGTGGATGCGTTATAAGAGTTAAGGTCAAATCCAACTATTCGATTACAGTAGCCTAAGAGTTGGTAGCTTGTACTACTGACTAGTTGCCTACTCTTTAGTATGTTAGTTCAAAATTAGGGACTGCCATGCATAGACAGCCCTTATGCGCTAATATCAAAAACAAATCAAAGTTTTTATCGGACACACAAAAGCACTTACTTTGATTTACATTGGTAAATTAAATCAAGGTTTACAGACAACCAGTGTAACTCTTGCATACTAAAAAAAATACAGACGTTAGGTGTAAAAATTGTATTTGATATTGGTAATTTAGATATTTCTTTACAAGCAGTGTTTCGTAGAATTGTCTCTGTATTTGTAGAATTAATGATACGTGACATGGCTAGTGTGTTAGAACCGTTTCTTTATTATTACAAGCAGTTTCCGAAAGAATCGATCTTGTATTATTACCAATCGAGCAGTGTTTGGCAGAACTATCCGTCTGTTATTAGGAACAATGTTTGGCAGAACTATCCGTCTGTTATTAGGAACAATATTTGGCAGAACTATCCGTCTGTTATTAGGAACAATGTTTGGTAGAACTACTATCCTTCTGTTATTAGGAACAATGTTTGGTAGAACTACTATCCTTCTGTTATTAGGAACAGTATTTGGAAGAACTATCCGTTTGTTATTAGGAACAGTATTTGGAAGAACTATCCGTCTGTTATTAGGAACAGTATTTGGTAGAACTATCCGTCTGTTATTAGGAACAATGTTTGGTAGAACTATCCGTCTGTTATTAGGAACAATGTTTGGTAGAACTATCCCTCATTTATTAGGAACAATGTTTGGTAGAACTGTTTCCATGTTATTAGGAACAATGTTTGGTAGAACTATCTGTCTGTTATTAGGAACAATGTTTGGTAGAACTATCTGTCTGTTATTAGGAACAATGTTTGGCAGAAGTGTTTCTATGTTATTAGAAACAACATTCGAGTTCATGGAATTGTTGTATCAGGTGTGGCCTAGCGGTTTACGTGCTAAGCTGCGTATTGGAAGGTCCGTGGTTCGAGTTAATGAACACGCTTTGAATCATGGGGACGTCGTAATCGGATTAGAGCATCCAAGTAAGCATCTGTTAGTATTAACCAGCTACCTTTCCTCTGATTAGCAGATACATATTACGAATGACTACGCCTGAACCTTGAGGTCTAATTTTGAAACGAACCTACGTCTATTTCTTCTAACTTTTAATGTCTTTGTTATAAAGGGAACCTAACAAGAAAGATGCAGTTAAATCCCATTTCTTATTTTTTCAACAAAATAAAACTTTCTGTTATTCATTTTGTGTTTTATTTGCTTTGAGATTTGGAGAAAAAGAAGAAAAAAAAGGTTGTCGAGTTGGCTTAAAATGTTATCATTGGTTTGACTGTAGATAAAGGTTCAACATACTACACATAAACACGGGTTAAATCTCCTGCATATGATTCTACTTAGAAACAACTGTAGCACATTGAACACATTAAGATATCACGTACAGGGGAGATGATGTGTTGCTAGGATATTGCATTCCATGGACGTTACAGATATTTTTACGCTTATAATAAATATAACTTATCTAAACATTTCATGGGGTGTTTTTTTTTTAAGGGATTATTATTTCTATGAAATTATAGCTTCATCCTTAAATAGAATTTGGTAAATTAATTGTAAGGAAAAGCTTAACTACAAAAAATAAAATAAAATGGATCTCCGTAGAGATGTAGTCCTAACTTTTGAGAAAACGCACCCTAGTGGAAACTGTCAAAAGCTATAACGAGTGGTAATTTATCAGGAAACATAAAAATTGAATGTTGTTCTTTATATTCTGACTCTTGCCAGTGTACAAACTAACACATTTCTCTCGAACTCGACACGATAATTTATCATGTATCACTTTTTATAACCCGAGAAATGGCTCAAATAATCTATGGGTGTAGGCGTAATAACAAAAATCTTACACTTGACTGACACATTGAGATTCAAATTTGATCAATATGTGTATGTATTACGTATTCGAAAAATATTTCTCGGATATAAAAACAAACATTTTATTCACATTACATAAAGAAAAACTTTCTTTTTTTTTGTCTTTAAACTTTCGCTATATTTTGCACGAACTTCAGATTTAGGCCTACATAAATTGACAGTATGTGTGGTTGGTTTTAAATGTAATAAAATGTTTTTTTTTTTACTTTATGTAATTCATATGTACACTTGTCTCATCATTAATCGCAAGGAAAAATTAAGATATTTTTGTTGTTAGGTCCAGAAAGCTATAAAACATACTATGATAAGTAGTTATTGTTCGAAATTGTATTATTATCCGATTGTGAGTTATATTTACTTCAAACTGATCATCATTGTTAAATTTTGCGATGATAAAACTTAAGTTCCTAAACTGTTCAGTATTGCTCAAATTTCCGATGACAAGTCTTACGTTTTTTCAGTATTATTCTGTAACATAAAATGTCTTTAGGAGAATATTCAAACTTATTGGACAAACCGTTTTAACCTTAGAAATATTGATTGGAGTGGATTAAAATATGCCCCATCCCCCACTGGCTCAGCATCAAATGTGCGTGCTTACGAGACTCAAAACCGGGTTTCAATACCCGTTATGGGCACAACACAGACAGCCCATAGCGTAATCTGAGCGTTCGTCTGTCTCCCGTTTGAAAAGCTGCGCACGCAGGCAAAGTTCAATATTCACTTTTGAAATGACAGGAGAACAGGTATATAATTGGGATGGGAATAACATTAACATAAAGGGATCTTGGTGTAATATTTGATCAGTCTCTAAAGCCATCCAAGCAGTGTGCTGTTGCTATTGGTAGAACAAATATGATTTTAGGTTATATCTACAGAAATATTGAATTCAAGTCTAAAGAGGTTATAATTTCATCGTGTACGTCACTGGTTAGACCACATTTGGAATATTGTGTTCAGTCTCGGACTTCTTGCCTTAGGAAAGACATTGAATTGTTGGAAAGGGTTCAGAGAAGGGTTACCAGAATGGTGCCTAGGATGGGGGGGGGGGTTGTTATACGAGGAGAGGTTGAAATCTCTCAAATTGTTTTCTCTTGAAAAAAGAAGAGTTGGGGGAGGGGGGAATCTGATTGAGGTGTTTAAGATTGTAAAGGGAATTAATAGTATTGATGCATCATCTTTTTTCATACTTAACAGTGAGAATAGTAGGTCTAAGGGACTCAAATATAAATGTTGGCAGGGTAGGAGTGATCTTCAACTAAAATAGTTTGTTTTTTTTCTAACAGGGTGGTCTGCCTTTGGAATGGTTTGTCTTGGAGGCAGTAGATTTAAGTGAGTTTAAGATAAAGTTTGATAAGTATATGAATGATAAGGGCTGGCTTTAAGACTTTTTTAAATTTAGTTATTAATAGTTTTAGTTTAGTTGAGAAGATGGAACAGCCGAGATGGACTAATAGGTCCAAAGCTGTTCCAAAACTTTATGTTATGTTAATAATGTTAATGTCAAGTTTTATTTCGCAAGCAGGATATTCTGTACTAAATTTTTAGGAATGAATCACACTATCATTCACATTTATCTTTATATTATCTTTTATATCTTTATATATTATGTTATTGTTGAGTGGCTCTTAGCATGACTGAAATGCTCAACAATTACTTTTCGCAGTGGGCCGTATAAGTAGTTCAGAGCTTTGGATGATCAGAGTGAAACCAATAGTGCAACACAATTAACCTTTTTAAAGTCCATGAAATGATTTAAATTGATAGATTAACCTAAACTTTTCTGGTCACTGGGGACGGGTACTTTTGCTTGTAACATATAAGTCACAAATACCGTCGATATTGCTATTAATCTCACTCATTACTGCCAAGGTCCTCTATAAAATTTGTGAGTTACCTTTTAACCTTTTTCTTGGTCAGTTCTTGACACCGAGTCTTGAGAAAAAAATACAACAAAAAATATTCATTATGCAATATGTGAACCTAACTTGTGCGTAAACAAGTTGGTATTCCGAATCATTATTAATTACAGTTATCTCCATTCTAAATCAGAAGTGGTTTGTTATATTGGCTAACATTTTAAGTAAACTGTTAGGCTTCGAAGAGTAAGAAGTTTATATAACCTTACAATAACTAGAATAATATAATACATTATGATTATAATGTGCTTTTAAAGAGTTAGATACGTAAATAAATTTTATATTATACAGGTTTGACTTGGTGTAGTTTTTATTTGAAGAAAACATTCATATTGATCCATTAAGAAAGAATTTTTTTTTATGGTTGTTTGTCTTTCGAGCTGAATTTCGTACGCAAATTTATCACCAACTAGTGACGGGTTAGTTGCAAAATTAAAATATATTAACTCACAGTGGAACTCGTGCCATGGAAACTGAGAACTACAGTTTTGAGGGATATTATCTTTCATCATTCCAGCTGAGACGATGATATGGATGTCGTACCTGGGTTTGTGAGATCAGTTCTCAGCTGATCATTATATGTACATATATATATATATATATTAGTGGCTGGGATCCGACAAATTTTCATATTAATATATTTTAATTAAGTACTGATTGGGCATAAAAGTCAAGATTAACATGGTCCGCGACAATTTATGAAAATTGAGGATTTAATTAAAAATTAAAGTAACTTAAAGATGTAGATTATCTTACTGAGAGACCGAGACTAAAAATATAATAATAAATAACTGAACATTCTCCATGTTTTTTATAGTTTTATTTCACAAGTGTTTGGCCCCAAGAATGAAACGTTCTCCAGTTTATCCCGCATTGTGCAGCGCATAAACTGCTTTACTCGTGGAACACTTTGAAATACACGTTGCTAAGCAACATATCAAAATTCAAGTGTCGCCAGTGATGGAACAATGGACTCTAGAACAATTACATTAAGGTGAAAGTATTATCTTTTTTAAAAGTTTAGTGTTCTCCAGTGGCGAATTGTGAAAATTTCCAAACATGGCTGGAAGAACCGGCTGAAGTACAAAGTTATTAGCTATGAGCAAAACAACGTTTAAAACGTGCACATGAGTTTTTTTAAAAATCAAAACGAATATAAGCCATGGGTTTACGCTTTAGTTGAAACACTTTTTTGACTGTTCATAGACTTATATTAATTTTTCGAACGTTCTTTTTTCCTTGAGCTTAATAAAATACATTTATTAATAACACAACACTGCGAAACACGATCAATGAATTGATTTAAGTTTAAAACAAAAGTACATCAAGCAAGTTTTGACCCTTCGCAAGAAAAAATAACCAATAAAAATTCAGTAAACAGCCCATGATTTTGATTGGTACTCTTACAACGGTCACTGAATATATAACTGTTGTAGGTAATTTTTTCTGTCTTCCTTCTCTTCATGTTAGCTGTTGTTATGAAGGTTCTTTGCACTTATATTGGGTGTTTGTTCTTTTAGGCTTATCAAGACATTGATTATTTCTCTATAGATATTTATTACTGTACATTCTTTCACCAGTATACTCATTACTGTACAGTCTTTCACCAGTATACTCATTACTGTACAGTCTTTCACCAGTATATTTATTACTGTACATTCTTTCACCAGTATACTCATTACTGTACAGTCTTTCACCAGTATATTTATTACTGTACATTCTTTCACCAGTATATTTATTACTGTACATTATTTCACCAGTATATTTATTACTGTACAGTCTTTCACCAGTATATTTATTACTGTACAGTCTTTCACCAGTATATTTATTACTGTACAGTCTTTCACCAGTATATTTATTACTGTACAGTCTTTCACCAGTATATTTATTACTGTACAGTCTTTCAACAGTATATTTATTAATGTACATTCTTTCACCAGTATATTTATTACTGTACAGTCTTTCAACAGTATATTTATTAATGTACATTCTTTCACCAGTATATTTATTAATGTACATTCTTTCACCAGTATATTTATTACTGTAGTCTTTCACCAGTATATTCATTACTGTACAGTCTTTCACCAGTACACTCATTACTGTACATTCTTTCACCAGTACACTCATTACTGTACATTCTTTCACCAGTACACTCATTACTGTACATTCTTTCACCAGTATATTTATTACTGTACATTCTTTCTACATTTTATGCCAGTGTTTCAGTAACACCTACTTTTACCGAAACAAGGTGAAAGAACATTAAGTTAAAACACATGTTTTGGTTTCTGATTTAAAATTTTATATGCTTACGACCAACAGTGTCTTTCTTAATAAGTACACATAGAAAGAGCAAGAAGTTGTTTTCTCTTTTCCAAAATTAATTGCCTTGGGTTAAGTGGATTGTCCAAATGCGATCCGAACCTCATTCTTACTTCTTGGCGTTATTGTAACAATTTACATATGCCATCTTTGTTACATGGCGTTATTGTAACAATGTACAAATGTAATTTTTGTTACATGGTGTTATTATAACAATGTACATATGCCATCCTTGTTACATGAAGGCTTTATTGTAACAATGTACATATGTCATCTTTGTTACATGATGGTGTTATTACAACAATGTACATATGTCATCATTGTTACATGAAGGTGTTATTGTAACAATATACATATGTCATCATTGTAACATGATGGTGTTATTGTAACAATGTACATATGTAATCTTTGTTACATGATGGTGTTATTACAACAATGTACATATGTGATCTTTGTTACATAATGGTGTTATTACAACAATGGACATATGTGATCTTTGTTACATAATGGTGTTATTGGAACAATGTACATATGTGATCTTTGTTACATGATG